TTGTATGTAATATCTTCAACTACATTGATGCAAAATTTATAAAATATACTATGATTTTAAAAACTGTCATTGAAGCGAATCTCAGAAGATCTCATATAATCACTCTGCAGATTGTTTCGTATATATTCCGTTTCTAAACAATGGATATTGTATTAATATAAATTTTCATGATACAAGTATCATTTTTTTTTTTTTTGAAAACCGAACAAAAGAGGTTAAATTAGGGCATGTTCTGATTTACTGAACAGAGCTGAATTGAACTGAACTAAACTAAACTGAAATAAATTGTTTAAGAAAGAAGGAAATTAGGAACTGAATTGAACAAATTGGAGCTAAACTAAATTAAAATTGAGCTGAATAGAACAAACCATTAATGCATTAACTTATATGCCAAATTTAACTGTAACAATTATTTAAAAACAAACAGAGTAGAAGTGACTGTGATTTATGGTCAAACTTTTTAAAATTTGACTCACATAACTATAATAAAGATTATATCCTTAATTTCATGGAAAGAAATCCCCCAAAATTAAAATCCCACACGATTTCATTCCCCTACACGTGTCAAATTCCTATTTGCCATAAAACATTAAAAATGTTGGAATTTGACAAAAAAATAACGAAAATCGAGAGTCCAAATTCTTGTAAACTGCGTTCAATTTAAAACCCCTGTTTTACTCTCAACTCAAAACACAACAGAGAGAAAGACAAACTCAAGAACGCTCCTCCTTCTGCCATTCTTTTTTCAGGTTTTCTTTTTATTTATTTCTTTTCAATAATTTTCTTGTTTCTCTTGAATTATTTTGTAATCTCGTTGATTTCAATTTATTTTTTGTAAGAAAATTGGATTAATGGGTATATATTTTTTTGATTGAATTTTTGTGCTAAGTTGGGTTGTTGTTGTTTTATTTGATGAAAATTGATAAAAAAAAGTGAAGGTAGAACGACAAAGAAATGGAGACAAAGAAGCAATCTTCTCATTGTTGGTGGTTTGACAGTTACAATAGTGCAAAGTGTTCTCCTTGGCTTGAATCTACTGTTACAGGTTCTTCTTTAACCATTAATTTTGGTTTCAGTAATGTTTTTTCGTGTTTTATTCGTCTTCGGGTTTAGTTGTTACGTTACTATTTCAAATTATGTTATCGACCGTAAGCCGTGACTATTAATTTGGACAGAAGGAGTATTTCAGTTAGTGGGTTGATTGAGTTCAGCATATTTGGGTTAATAAAGATTTCACTTTTTCTTGTTTTTAGTACATAATTTCTGGGTTATGAATTCTCTGTTTGTACATTTTAAAAATTAATTTTGATTCTTGATTATAAGTGTGTTTCAAGTCACAATCTTTACTCTTTAGGCATATAATAAATTTTGTGAATTAAATCTTGATTCTTTATTTGTTTCCCTGAAAATCTTGTGATATTTCTGTGTTTTATGCTATCACCAAAATCATGAAATTCATTGCACCAAATAAAAAAAAAAAAAATCTTGATTTCAGTCAACAAGTCTTACACAAATTAATTGTTGATTTAATTCAGAAAAATAATTAAAATTCAAATGTGGCCTGTTATTTTTTAAGGCTGGTAATAGGTTACTTTGATAAATGAAGTATTAAAATTCAATGCAGTTCATTATAATTACCAGATATTTGATGTATTGATGTTTATGTCATTACAATAATCACTTACCCGGTCAATCACTCTGTTGTTTAGAGGGGAAAGACGAGACAGCAAAATATTAAATTAAAACAAGTTCCGTCAAGGTAATTAAATGTAGTAGGGAAAGTGTCTAAACAAGTTCCGGTCCGGTCAATCAGTCTTAGTTCCGGGTTGTTTTAAATATATCACGTAACCCCTAAATTCTTGGATGAGAAAGTGTCACAAAATAATCATGCCGAACCTTATTTAGAGTTATTAAGTTTTAAGTAGCTCATAATCCTGCTTAAACTAAGGATGGATAATAATTAATTAATTTCATAATGTTACTTAATACGAGTAATTAATTACTGACAAGTTATGTACATAAATCATAGCACACAATTGTTGTGTTACTAACAAGTTATGTACAGAATATTACTTTAGTATAATTGAATGTTGAATTCGACCGTTGGAGATTTTAAAAAAGATGTACAAAAGTTGTGAATTTAAAAATTATGACTAGTGAGTGTTGACTTTATGACCCACCGATCTATTGTGAAATTGAATACAAGTATGGTTGTTTAAAATTGTTATTTTTGTACAAAGAAAATGATGTAATTGTCTTGTCTAGTTCAAACTTTTAAACCAAGGATATGTGGCGGTCCACTCTTTCTTTTTCATGTCATCTTTTTTCCACTTTTGTTGGTTTCAGTTATTACTAGCAAATGTGCAAACTTGTTCCTTGTCTAGGATTAGAAGTTTTCCTTTAAATTATTTTAAAATATGTATTTCGTCGACTCTAAATTTTTTCCTTCATTAGATGAGGATTGTCTCACAAAAAAGTCATCGAGTACATGATTATGACCTGAAGTGAATTTGATCCGAATTAGCTATCATCTTTACTACAAACATTTGTGAGATTTAAATGTGGCTTCAAGGGATGGATCACTTGGTACTATTGGAAAAGGATAGTGTATTTGTAATATGATTTGGTTAAGTTATTGAGATAAATACTCTAATTATAAGTAGGAATTATCGCCACCCATTTCGCTTTAGTTTCATAAAAGTTTATATCATTCAAGATAGAATAACTTTTTGTGTGTGTCATGACTAGAAATGTAATTGGAGCGAGTTAGTACATGGAAATGCTTGCAGTAAAGGTTGCGGTTTGATTATTAGCATGTTACAAGTTAAATCAGTTTATAGATCGATGTTATCAGATCCTTGTGACATTTGATGTTATTATTGTCTTGTATTTAGTCATTTAGATTATAAGCATACACAATGAATGAAATCAGGCTTGCTGTTCTTATTTGTATTGCTGTTAATATGACAGAGCTCAATGAGAAGACAGATTCGATGCTGAAGTTAATAGAGCAAGATGCAGATTCCTTTGCACAGCGTGCAGAGATGTATTACAAGAAAAAGCCGGAGCTTATTAGCATGGTGGAGGACTTTTATAGGGCTCACAGATCACTAGCTGAACGATATGATCTACTCAAGAGTGATCGTGGTGCTCGTGTTAGGTCCCCCTTGAGAAGTTCACTCTCCCTACCAAAGGAGGAGTATGAATATGTGCTTGACTCTGGTACTAACTCAGTTAAGTCTTTTGATAGCTTTGCTGAGGTAGCGTACAGTTCTGAGGAGTTTGCCGAGTCTGAAATAGATGATCCTGATCATGAAGATGAAGTTGTGCAAATTGATCAGGAGATAGAAAAGCCGTTTTCTGGTGGGGCTAGTTATGATGAACTGATGAAACTGAGGGATGAATTGGATCGATTGCGAGAAGAGAATGAGATTCAGAAGAACATTATCAAGCAGAAAGATGGGGAAAAAGAGGAATTAGTAAAGCAGTTATCAGACAACATCAGTAAGCTGCGGGAGATGAGGGAAGAAATGGCTGCAGTTAAGGAAGATAATGTGCTTGTTTTGATGAAGGAAACTAGTGATGTATTTGACGAGGTGACAAAGTTGAACGACGAAATGGAGAGTCTAAAGGCAGAGAACATGTATCAGAAGGAGCTGGTGAAGAAGAAAGCGGATGAGGTAATTGAGGTAACGAAGAAGTTTGAGGAGGCAAAGTTCGAGTTAATGAAGTTTGAGGAAGAAGCAGAGACTAAAAATAGGTACTTGAAGGATGCACTTGTTCTAAAAGAGGAAGAAAACATAGAAGTTGCAAGGCAATTTGAAGAGGCAAAGTCTGAGTTAGCGAAGTTGAGAGAAGATATAAAAAAAGAGAATGGACAGACAAATAATGAAGAGAAGCAAGAGGCAGTCAGGCACTTGAAGGATGCACTTGTTGAAAAAGATGAGGAGAAACGCGAGGCAATTAGGAAGCTAAAGGATGCACTGATAGAAAAAGACTTGGAGAAAAGAGATGCAATAAGGCAGCTGACTGATGCACTTATAGAAAAAGATACCGAGAATAAAGAGGCAATTAGGCAGCTGAAGGATGCACTTGCAGAAAAAGATGAGCAGAAACGTGAGGCGATTAGGCAGCTAAGTGTAGCCATGGAAATTCTCAGGGAGGAGAGTAAGATGCTTAAGAAGTCAATCGTCGAAATTTCCCCCAAGAAAAAGAATGCTGACTACCAAATTTTCAAGGGTGTTAATCCGGGCAAATTATTCAACTTATCTTCGAGCAGCCAAGATAGTGTTGTACCTCTGAAGTAAACTGACATTCGTCTGAACATATTAGCACATCTAGAACACAGTTTTGTTCCAGCAGGCATAGGGTCGATCTGAAATCTAGATTAAGGATAAGGATTATGGTACTAGGTTGTATAATATGTTACTGTAGCGTACATATGTTCGAAGATTTTGTCTGATTGTAAAATTGCAGCTTGTATTCATATATCTTAATACAATAGTATGTGATATATATTTTATCTCTATTGAGGTCTATTTTAAATTGCATATGTAAGGTTGTCACATTGTTCAAATCCCTCACAAGGGTATGATATAATTTTACAAATGTACTCATGAACAACTGCAGGGTTCTGCTGCCCTTTACAAACACTAAAACGCTGATTTACGAGTTGTGTACTTCATATTTGATAATCTTCAGCAGACTACTAGTCTTTCAAATGACTTAATAAGATTGGTATTGACGTTTTTTAGTCAATTTGGCACTACTATTGCATACTTGTGTAGTCGTGCATACCTAATAGTTGCCTATCTTCTCAACATTCCTCATCATTTAATCTAAGTGACTTTTAGGAAATTTAATAAAATTATTAACTATAAAAGCATTAGGAAATGCAACAACTTTGTTCATAACTTCATATATCTAAAATACGTATGTAAGGGTATCAGTTTCAAAATTCATATAGAGGAATAAGTCCAATGAGAATGGATACGATATATGATCATTTTCATGAACATTAAGCTTGACGAATACTTCATACTTCAGTGTACAAAATATGTACTTTGTATTACTTTAGTTTTTGTTAAGGGTAAAATACACCGAGATTAGGGCAGTCTTTTTTCAACACTAAACGCGATTATTCACCGGATGTGAAGTCGTACCTAACACTCTCATAGCATGTAGCCCAAATAATTCCTAGAGAGGTCTTGTGATTTAACAATCAACAGTAAAGATGCTTTTAACCACTTTTTTTTTTTTTTTTTTCTTTTCATTTTAAACCTCAAAAAGCAAATTTATCAGTTGCTTTTTGGAGGAGACTAACAAAGTAATAATAATAAAGAAAAGAAACAGCTTTCCCATTGAATTAGCTCTTAAAAAAGACACTAACTATTGCCTCATCATTCACCTTTTGAAACCAAAAAATACAAAAAAAAGTTTCATTCAATTTCATAATTCATTAATCTCTTCCACTTCTACCAAATAACAAAAAAGTTTGTCCCCTTTGTTATTTTTTAGTACAATATATTCTATAAACTACTCAAGTAACTTCAAATAAATTATAATCCTACATTAAGAAATTATTGCAAAAGATACAGTACAATGTAATACAACTCAATCATTTAAGTAATTAACATAAATATATACCAACTTTATCAAAAGTAAGCTAAAAAAATACAAAGTGGGGTGGTGCAGTATTACACGATTACAGTACCTTGAATCTGAATTCACCAGAAAGCAATGAAAACAAGAGCCACCATTGCAGAATTCAGTACAACAGATAGTTTCAAGGCGAGAGCAGAGGATTCCGGTATCATGGACGCTGTAGGGGACATGGAGGAAGGCAGTGATGAATCAGGATTAGGGGTGGAGAGGGAGTCAGGATTAGGGGGGCTTGGACTTGAAGGAATGATTGGAAGTGAGGATTCCGATGAAGGCGGGTTTGAGGCAGAGGTTGGTGTAGTAGGAAACAGAGGAGCAATATCAGGTGATAATGCAGGGGAAACAGAAGAAAGAGGAGAGTATGGCAGTACACTTGGTTCAGCTGCTATAGTTGACAGCTTAAATGTTGTAGTTTTATGTGTTGTGTATGCATTGCAGCATGTTATGTAAAAGATGGTGAGATTTAGAAGTATTTTGGGAAGGTTTAAGGAGGCCATTAAATGTTAAAAGGGAACTGAATGCTGCTAAGAATGTGATAAGAGTTAGAGAGAGAAAGAAGAGAGGGAAAATGTGGTTACATAAAGAGATGGATTAATGATATAATTTGAAGGGGTTTAAATGATTTGGTGAATAAACTGAATGATAGGTTGGGTGGTGGAGTAAGTGGGATCTATAGTGAGATTACAGCTTGGCATGTTTCACTAAGGGACAAGTTAGATATATGTACCTTTTTTTCCTGGTACACATGTTAGTGAGGTGTATTCCTCTTTGGAAATTTCTTTCTTTTCGTCACAATTATATGATTTTTATAATCACAAACGACAGTGACGTAGAAGATATTACATAGACAAGGTAAATAACATTGCGAAATTGCTGTAAGATTGACGAAATTTCATATGTACATATTTGCAGAAAAAAAGAAAGTGAAATACAGGGGATACAACAAATTTATTATTTGATACTGAGAATTGTGTTGTTAGTAATTACAAGTCCAAACTCGTTCTTATGAACCCGCGAGTCTGATGCTATGTTATGTTAAGGTACAGTGTATACAACATACAAGGTATCAACTTCAACATACAAGGTCTTGCGACATTGATGCTTTTCACATTTCAGATATGTGAATCAAATGCTTGATGTTCCAGTCTCCAGCCTGGTGCCATGATCCTGCTGCGCATCATAACCAAAGTACAGGATGAGCAGATCAGCTTGTACTTGAGAAAGAATGGTCATTGTTCACTTATACCTGATTCTGCAAGAATAATAAACATCAAGGGAAAATTAACGATCAAATGACTAAAACATATGATATAACAAAAAGGTTCAGTAATAATCCCATAAAGACCAATAGGCAAGGAGAATTAATAGAATGAAGAAAATACTGCATAAAAGATGCAGTTTAAACTCCAACAGCAAAAGTTTAAATACTTAATCTAGTTGTTAAACTATAAAATCTAACCAAATGGTACTCCTGTAATTATCATGTACTGTTTTCTGTTGATGCCTGTATGTCACATACCCTATATACGTGAACATGCACCTTTTAAATGGTACTCCTTTAACAAGTCCACTCCAGCAATCACCTTGTCAAATTCATACTATTATGAACATAAAGTGAAGGAATTCTAGTATGTTGAAACACTGACTGAAAAGAAAATCTATAACCCTCAAGGCCTCAACCTATGTTACCCGGAGTTGGATAAACCCTAAACCCTCAACCAACCAAAAAAATTTCAATGTAAATGTAAAATGGTGGTAAGGCAGATTTTAGTCAAGAAAAAAAAAAAAAAAAAAAATTCAACCAGAGCTCCAAGGACAATTGAAACATGAAGTGAATTAACCTACTACAAACAGTACAAGTGAATTTATTTTCACATAAACATTCCACTATAAAAAATGAGCATTTACAAGTAGATTTCTGGATAAAGTAATAGAGCTCCTACTTAATTTAGATTATTCATCATCGTGTTGTTTCACATGTCAGGGAAAATAACAATCCTCTCATAAATTGCTGTGAATGATGGTTTCCAACTAATGACTTCTAATTCTCATTTTGGTAGAGAGTGAGAGACAGACAGCAGATGACATTAATTTTCTTGCACAAAAACAAGCTGCAACAATTTTTCTTATAGATCCTTACACGTCCTTCAGCATGAAAAACTAATTTTTGAGCAGAAGAGAATCATTACCAACTTTCATATTAGCAAAAAACTTGTTAAGTAGGCAAGTTTTAGATAGCAAAAAACTTAGGAAAAATATTAACAAAAATAATATGTAGTAACAAATAAATAAGCATACACCAACTAATATATTAGCAAGCAGTAACTTGAGAACTGCATTGTCCGTAGACCATGCCAGCAAATTGCAGTGCAAAATTAAGTCTAAAAACTATATTATAAATTAAACCGAATGTGTTGGGTTATCATCAAGCCCTAACCTGCTTTGCTGTCAGTAAAAGAGTAAACTAACATATTTATTGCTGACTTTTTACATTCAAGAAGCAGTTTGGCACTCTGGCATGTCACGCTATATGCATTAAGTTGCATGACTTAACTTTCATGAAAAAGATATCCAATGAGAAAATAAAGCAAGCAGAAAATTTAAAATCCAGAACCGGAGTAAAACAAAATATGAAAGCTTATGATTGCCAAAAACAAATTTCAGCTTTAGCATCTACAGTAGATATTGATACATCAATAAATCTAACTAAGACCTGTCACAAGAAAAGTGAAATATCTATCAATATCATTCATCAAAAGTTTATCCAATTTTTCCTGTTAAACCTATGTTACCTAACAAGGGAAATCATGAAGTACTAAACAAACAAGATCTTCAGGTTTAAAAGCTACCTGAGGGTTCTGAATGAAGATTCACCACCAAGCCTTAGCCACCAATACGTATCATCGGTCTATTAGCCGTATTTGCAAGGTCAAACATTCCTGCATGAGCAGCTTTCTTCCTTTTCACCTACATCATTATAACACATAATTTTTTATTAATATATAAATTCTTCTATGAGACAACTTTTCCAGAAACAGAGGGTGCAACTTGCTTCAGTCACCTAATTTCTTACCAAAAGTTTGACTAATTGACTATAAAAGTCACATGCATCAGAAACAGAGGAGCTGAGATATTAGAACATACCGCTCTTCCAATTACTTCCATGAGCTCATTGTCATCAGCACCACTGCGGATGGGATCTCTTAAGCTCACCTGCACTTAAAAAAAAAAGAATCATTACTGATTGCAATTAAGCCTATATATTGAGTTGACAAGGAAAATAAAGCACATCAAAGACTTAAAAAATTAGAACATGCAAGTTATGACTTTGACGATGAACCTTTGCTCCTAAAGAACTTTGACAGCCAATCTCAATCTTATGAACATATTCAGCAGGTAAAAAAAGCCTAGGAATTTGGTGTTGCTTAGGTTATACTTTATGTTTCCATAAGCTGGCCTGAAGACTTAGATGATTCCATTATTCATATCAGAAGCACCATGGTCCTTTTTCTTGAGGTGACAGGTGTAATTGCTTACTCCCTTAGTCTCACATTAGTTCAGACACTTCTCATTGCATAGAGTATTAGGTGATAAGTTGTGATAAGTCAATCATGCTTAGTAACCTGTTGGAGGATACTACACTCAGCTGTTTGCTAAAAGGAACCATTTCTTCCCAAGTAACCAAAGAGATGGTTGATAACCATAGAAAGAGGCATATCAGAGCAGTTGACCAACACCCAAGTAAGAAATTTCTAATGCTTATGAAGTTATAAGATAGCTTAAAAGTAGATTTTATCAAAGTTTTCAATCAGAAGGTTGAAGATCTCAATGACAATTGTAAATCAATGATTGACATGAACTTTTCTTGTCAACAAAGGAACACCAAGTTCCGTATTTCAATACAGGAGCCTTGACGTCCCAGATATTATAGTCTGATCTTGGTATTCCCTCCCTCTCCTCACTTCTCTCTCCCATACCATCCCCCCCCCCCCCCCCACACACAAAAAAAAAAAAAAATACAATTAAGCTAACCTAGAGACAGAAGAATTAGAATGGATATTTAATAAGAATACAAATCCCAATCACTAAATTTCTTTATCTCTACAAGGTATTGCACTATATAATAACAACAGTTTGCATAGTTTGTCATCCTATTTCGAAAGCCAATTTGAAATATGTTACTCCCTCCCTTTCTAAAATCTAAATACTTGCTCCATTTCTCCATGCGCGGAGTTTTAGGAGAAATTGGAAAAAAATAATAAAATATGAAGGTAGTGGGGTAGGTGGAAGAATAAAAATTGTAAAAAAACAAAAGTAGTGGAGAGAATAGGGGGAGAGAGAATATGAAATTTATAAAATATGATTCATAGTGAGTCCACTAGGTGAAAGAAATTAATTAAATATTATAAAAACTTTCCAAATAAGGAAATGGAGCAAGTATTTAAAAACGGTCGAAAAAGAAAAGTGGAGCAAGTATTTAAAAATGGAGGGACTGTTTTCTAATTAAGACGGAAATCAACTGTTGCGCGCCCATATTAATCAGATCCGCTTTGTGGGCTGTAAAAAAAATAATGATCTAAGCCTCTAATCCCCTAAAGTGACATTAGATAGGTTCAACTTTGAACAAGTTAGAAGAACTCTAGTTATAATATTTATTTACAATCATTATCACATATATAATACTCCGTTCATTCCCAAATCATGTCCTATTTCTCTCAAATTTATAGTCCCTAATAGTAACCGTGTTTCTTATTTGGGTGAGGTCCACTATCTAGTAACTTTTTTAATATTATATATTTAATCAACAAAATCCCACAATATATTCTCACTTCCCCTTAAAATTATTAATTATTCCAACTATTGAATTTTTTTTCATAAAAATTTAATCAACAATACTTTACTACAATTCCTCTCCTAGAATGGGGTTTTAATTTAGGATTAAACACCGTAACAATTTGATAATCAAAATATTATATTAGCACTACTAAGAATAAAAGTAGCAAGTACAACAAAAGACGAATTGGAATAATAGTAGACTAGCAGATTATGCATCCCTTACAAACTTATTTATTTAACTTTTTTAAAATCATTGGCGTGATAATTTTTTTTTACAAAAATTTCTACTTCAAAGCTTAAAACATAGATTGTCTATTTTAAAAAATCCATAAGAATTTACATTTAAATGATAATTTGGGGCTTTTCACTTGGTGTCAGCAAAGAGTTACACAGTAAGCGCTTTTTCTGATCAACGGCTCAAAATTTTTAGGTCAAGGTGCCTACAGGGAGGGCCAATGGGGTAAATCATAATTAGTGATACTAATAGTTTTAGGAATAGATGGAACTAAATCTCAGCCACATCGCAATGGCATTGTAATGGTTCTTTTAGCTTACCAATTACCATTGACTGTGATATAAGGCCGCAACAAGCACAAACCATTCCACGACCATTATTGTGATCACAACTGCATCAAAGATTTGAAACCATGTTCTAAGGTTGGATAAAGTGGTCTCTTTGTTTTGCATGGTTGTTTTGGATAGGTGAATGTAGTTGTGTTTGGGTTAATGGTGGAGCTTGGCTATTCTCTGGATGAAGAACATCTTTTGTTGTGTTCAGTTCATTAAAGCTGGTATTTATGGGAGAGTTACAAGTGAGCAAATTAAAAAAAACTATTTTGCCAATTTTGTTTGGTGGGGTTTGTTTGGCTAGTTGGGGTCATGTGCAAAAATGTTGACTCTATGTCATCTTTTGAGAATAAAGTATCACATATTGTCTCACTCACATTTTTATTTCTTCTAGGGGTGCATGGTTTTCCCTTACTAACTCTGTTTTTCGGAGATACTGATTCTACAAGCTCATCTTTCTCATATACTACATAGCACTCCACACATTTATCCCTCACAGCTATCTTACTCATCTCCCTGATTTCATCATCACTGTAAACCCTCCTTAATCCTTTTTCTAAGCCATCAAACCTAGAAATTAGGTAGTAGATTATCTCAATTTTTGATTCCCCAGCACAACTTTTAGCAAACTCCTCTAGCCAAAACCAACATAATTGATCAGAGTCAAGTTCAAAGGTCCTACATTCACCCCCAAAATATTGCAATACCCCATTATCCTTCTTGAATGAACCACCACACCACATTTTCAAAGTCACCACAATGTCCATGTTCTACTCAATTGTCAAAACAAATTAAACAAAAAATAAAACTCAATTATATAGAAATTTAGGTAATAAACGAATCAAAGTAACTCGTAATCAACCAATACAAACCCCTGCAAATTAAAAATAAGATAAAATCAACCTTAAGCAACTTACAACTCAATTTCAACAAATAACTAAAAAAAATGAAAAATTGAAATTGCAAACTGACCTTTAAAAAGCATAATTGTAGACCATGAAATTAAAAATTTGTTCTTCGTTGTGCGTGAAGAATGAACAAAAATTTGTCAAATGGAAGAACTTGATTTTTTTTGGGGGGGGGGTTTTTACATTGTACGGTGGGTAGTGGGGCAAGTATAGGTTATTAATTGTTTTTGTTTTTACTTTTCTTTTTTTTTTTTTAATGTAAAAGCAAATCATTTTTGGAGGGAGTTGAGCACTACATCTTCTATTTACTTGCATAACCGGTAATCAGTCTTAATGGAGTAATAAAAGAAGACTCACATTAAAGTTTAGATTATACAATAATAACTCATAGTTTTGATTAATATGAGAAGACCTCTCATAGTTTGGATTATTTATGTGAATTTTTCCTTATTAATAATCATGATAATTAATAATTGACAATACAAATTATGAATATTTATAAGAAAATTAATTAATAATAATGTCTAACAATTTCTTAATAAATATTGATTATAGTAATAACACATAATAATATTTTTTGGGAATAATCATACTTCATATTTAATATTATTTTACAATAATAGGTAATGATGATGAAAATGACGATCACATGAAAGGTTAATTCACCACAATGTTAAACTCTTATCTAATTATGTTCTTATATTGATAAGTGGTTGTAATAATTTGACGATGTTAAACTATTGTTTTTTTTATCTTTTTCATATTAACATAAGTTAAAGATGGTACACATCTATTTATGCACTTGTTAATAATAATAATAATAATAATAATAATAATAATAATGATAATAATAATAATAATAATAATAATGCTAAAATTTGCTATGCTTTTCCCACTATGCTATATAATACTCCGTTCATTCCCAAATCATGTCCTATTTCTCTCAAATTTATAGTCCCTAATAGTAACCGTGTTTCTTATTTGGGTGAGGTCCACTATCTAGTAACTTTTTTAATATTATATATTTAATCAACAAAATCCCACAATATATTCTCACTTCCCCTTAAAATTATTAATTATTCCAACTATTGAATTTTTTTTCATAAAAATTTAATCAACAATACTTTACTACAATTCCTCTCCTAGAATGGGGTTTTAATTTAGGATTAAACACCGTAACAATTTGATAATCAAAATATTATATTAGCACTACTAAGAATAAAAGTAGCAAGTACAACAAAAGACGAATTGGAATAATAGTAGACTAGCAGATTATGCATCCCTTACAAACTTATTTATTTAACTTTTTTAAAATCATTGGCGTGATAATTTTTTTTTACAAAAATTTCTACTTCAAAGCTTAAAACATAGATTGTCTATTTTAAAAAATCCATAAGAATTTACATTTAAATGATAATTTGGGGCTTTTCACTTGGTGTCAGCAAAGAGTTACACAGTAAGCGCTTTTTCTGATCAACGGCTCAAAATTTTTAGGTCAAGGTGCCTACAGGGAGGGCCAATGGGGTAAATCATAATTAGTGATACTAATAGTTTTAGGAATAGATGGAACTAAATCTCAGCCACATCGCAATGGCATTGTAATGGTTCTTTTAGCTTACCAATTACCATTGACTGTGATATAAGGCCGCAACAAGCACAAACCATTCCACGACCATTATTGTGATCACAACTGCATCAAAGATTTGAAACCATGTTCTAAGGTGTCGTCAATAATTTTTTACAAATAAAATCCCACAGGATGGTGAAGGGTGGGAGATTAAGATAATTACAAGCAGAATGTACATCTTCCAGGAAAAAGGCACATTAACTATATGAAAAAACATTTGAGACCTTGCTATGGGCCTGTGGTATAACTAAGGGAATAAATTTTAATTTGATTTTGCATGGAGGTAAGAGAAGGGGAATTTGTATGATACTTTCTAGAACTAAAACTGCAGTGCCTGCATTTATGATAGTAAGTTGGGTACCTAGTCTAAATTCAGAATATATCGATTCTGCATTTATGGTTGCTGTAAGTTGCAACATTTCTCCAGTGTACACTATTCACACACTCTACTTCACTGCAATTTATACTTTCAGAAAACATAGTCATGGGATCTTGTTGGATCTGTCAAAATGTTGTACTTCAATAAAAAAATTATTTATTTTAATTATTTTTAAAAATGAATAATTAAAAATATTAACGATTGAAGTTTTGCATTGACAAATGTGAAAAATAGAAATTTTGCAAGTAAAAAACAACAAAGGAATTATATAATTAAGCTCCCATATTAGGTCAATGGGAGGGTCAAGAGTTAAGTCCTATTATTTTTACACTTGTTGAAGTCTTCATAAGTAGTCAGAGATGCCCCTTAGGTTAAGTAATATTGTCACCAAATGAAATTATCCATAATGGACCATGGATCATCTGAGTAATTTTATAGTCATGACGAAGTTCAACTTTGTTTAGAAAAAAAATTGATGTAAAACATATTGGTGATCTAAGGTTATTAGTTTAGGGGTAACTACGTAGATCCCGTCAAAAAAAAAAAAAAAAAAAAAAAACTTAGATTACTTTAGGAAACTGTTCTGGCCTTTAATGGTACCTCAGAGATTGATACCATATAGTTAAGGCAAGTTAATAGAGGAATGAAGGCTAGAATACAGTTGGATGATTTTATTCTTCAAAAGATTTGTAGCATGTGTCAAATTTTATGAAGTAGATGAAGACTAGAACAGGGGGAGCAAGCTGTTCATCAGTTACTCCCTCCATTTTATTTAAAGTGCATCGATTTGACTGACATGTAGTTTTAGGAAGTTGAGTTGAATGGAGTAAAATACTTCCTTTGTTTTTTTTAGTCGACACCTTTCTATTATCACGCTTGCCAACGCATGTTTTTGCGATTAATATCTCTAATAATCAACATTATAAAATTATAAAAATTAGATATTAATAAAATATATATTGAAACGATTCAAACAAGATCCCACATGAATATGTTTTATCGTATCTATAAACAACAAAAGCGAGTCAAAGCGTGTTGTGTGAATAATGTAAAAGTCAAATGGTGTCAACTAAAATAAACGGAGGAAGTATTGTATAAGTAGTATTAATGGAAAATTAAAAAAAAATGATAGAAAAGTGATGATTGGGTAATCGTTTAATAAAAGGTAAGGGATGTGAGAGGAGGAAAATGATAATAATATAAAAAAAAAAAAAAAAAAAAAAAAAGTGGGATGGGGGACCATGTGAGGAAAGTGGTAATATAAACAATAAATGAAAGATGTCCAAAATATAATTGATACACTTAGAAAAAAACAAAGGGAGTAGTGAAGTCGAGAAATTATTATAAAACCTTAGTTTATAATGAATTCTCCACTTCTCCTCCAAGCATTTTAAAAAAAAATTGAGATTGTAAATTGCCCAAAGCTACGGATTAGAGTAAAGCTTTGATCGTTTGAGCCAACAAAATATTCTTAGAAAGGCCTTGTCATATTAATATTTATTCAAGTATAGAGCCCAACAAGTCCCTAGATCTATATAGTTTCATGGTAGTTCCTTTTTCCCAATTTCTTTCTGGATGTGACAAGAAATATGCTTCAGTAGCTTCAAGCTCACAACTTTGCACTGATCAATTGTACACTTGTATTTTACAAGATATTGGCAAAAGTTTTTCTAATACAACGGACAAGTTTCTTCCTGATAAGAATTTCTCAAAAAGATTAGCTTTTGCGAAGAGTAGACTTATATCTGGTACTGAACATGATGGTAGACGTTCTTCACAAGGGAAGAATCTTTAGAATTCATTCTAAAGTTTGATGTTTAAGAAGGCTTGAGTGGGGTGGTGAGATTACAAGATATAGTTATTGACAGAAAACTCTTTCTTATTTTTTAAAGGTGGAGGAGGTGTAATTGTGGTATTTCCACCTTGACTTTTCCAGAGTTGGTAGATGGTCATCCTAAGAGATGGGATATGACTTGACGAGGCTCAAGACAAGGAAATACCTACATTCTCTATCTGTTCTACCCCCCCCCCCCCCTCTCTTTATTCTCTCTCTTTCTCTGGCCAGTGAGTTAGGTTTGTTTCAGTCAGGCTACTTAATATATTCAAACAACACACATTATCGAGAGAAATATCATTTTGGTCCATTACACTCCAAAGTGAAAGTGATCCTTCACCTCCATTGTAATAGGAATCTATTTCCAAGCAAGTGCAATAGCTAAGGTCAGTCGTTGATTCAAAGTTGGCCTAGGCACTTCAACAAGAGTACAAGACCCCTTTATTTGCCTTCATAAAGACAAGTTGACCATGGCATTAGACAAGGAATATATCTTGAAGTTGATGCAAAATATTGACAAAGATAGGTAAAAGATACTTTTGCTAGTTAGATGAAAAAAGCATACAAATGGACGGAGACACTAAATGGCAGCACAAATGCCTTCAAAAAGACATGTTTACCATGGCATTGTAAGAGAAGCATGCCTTGAAGTAGTGGCAACAGAAATAACCCAGGAAGGTAAAAGGTATTTTTGTAGTTTTGCTAGTTTATTGAATACGTATACAACTGAAGGGAGACACTAAACACCAATGAAGTGGCAGAAAATAACCCAGGGAAAGATTTTAAAAAGTAATAAATAGCAAAATCATGGAGACAATTACCTCTGCAGACCCAAAGAGGCACACTTTCAGGTTCCCATCAGCTAAAAGTCGCAATCGATTGCAGCCAGCACAAAAATGCTCAGTCATTGATGTGATGAAGGAAACAGTTCCACGATGTCCCTCAACCCGAAAATTCTTTGCCGTGTCTGTTGGATCATCATTTAGTCTTTTCAAGTCAGAAAATTTATTGACCTGTAATTTAGGAGTAACCAATGAAACATAGAGATGATGAGGATTGAAAGAGTATGATTCATAAAAACTCTTCAAAACAGGCAAAATTGCACACGATAGACATACCACTCTATCCATCATCTCATAATAAGACACAAGTTTCTTGACATTCCAAACATTTCCATCAAATGGCATGAACTCGATGAATCTAATATTAATAGGCTTCTCACGTGTTAATTCAACAAAATCACATATCTCATCGTCATTAAACCCACGCATGACAACACAGTTCACCTGAAAAGGCAATAGTGAAGAATGAGCTAACATAATATAAAGAGGTAGGGATAATACTCAAATTTAAAGATGAATAATATACCTTAACTGGATCATAACCAAGGTCTACAGCTGTATTGATTGCCTCAATAACCTTTTCATGCCCTCTTCTCCGGGTCATGAATTCAAATTTTGCAGGCACTAATGTATCTAAGCTAATATTCACTGCATTAAGGCCACACATTTTGAGCTTTGGCAGTTTTCTCGCAAGCGTAAGTCCATTCGTTGTAATGGCCAGTGTTTTCAATCCCTTCAATTCAGACAGTTGCAAGCAAATATCCTCAATATCTTTCCTAATTGTAGGCTCCCCTCCGGTCAAACGTATCTTATTCACTCCACAATTGACAAATAGACTTGCCAGTCGCACTATCTCATCTTTCGAGAGTAGTTCAGGGCCAGGAGTGAGCTCCACCCCATCAGCTGGCATGCAATACTGACATCTAAGGTTGCAACGTTCAGACACAGAAATTCTCAAATACGTATGCAACCTCCCAAACGAATCAACCAACATGTCAGAAACTGAGCTTCCTTTTGTATCATCTTCAACCATCTTAGTGCAAGATGTTGAGTATGTATCAAAGACAGAACCCCGACTAAAATTATCGATCAAACCTCGAGAAGCACCGTTACAGGCCATAAAATAAGACCCATTACCATGATCAAACTGGTCAACAACATCAATAGAGAAAGATTCATTACAACCCCCAATGTCACAAAATCTTAAGCCAAATATTTCAATTTCCATAACCAATTTTCAAGTATCCTGATGGACCCATTTGGTAAATAGTAATAATTGCGATAACAGGAATGAATTTGTAAGAAAAAAAACATGTTCCCATCACCATGTTACTACTAAACCCGAGAAAAAATACGAGTGTCTGACAAGGCAGTGGTTTAGAAAGTAGATAAGACGGAAGAATACAATATAACAAAATAAAACATATATATGGAAATTACCACATTTTGACATAAATTGAGTCGTCTGTAGCTGAGCAAAGCTTTTGGTAAGTAGCGCCACATCTTGAGCTCAACCAAAAAAATGGCGTCTTTCAATAATTCAACTCTATAACAAGAACAAAGTGATCAGTATTCAGTACACCTTAGAAGAGCCCTAAATTGACTGTATCAGCAATTAAATCAACGACTAAATTGATATTCAATGATTTAAAAAATCAATTAATTGATGTCCAATGATTGAATAAAAAAGAGCATGTTACCTGAGAAGGTGGTTGAATGGAGGAGAGAAAGCTGAGAAGGTACATCAATGGAGGATTCAGAGTAAGCTTCAACGGATGACAGAGAAAAAGAGAGGGTTTAGAAAGGTGGAGGACTGGAGGTGGAGTCCGATTGCGTTAAACTGTGAAAGAGGAATGAAATGTCGACGACTCAATTGCTAGATTAGTAGATTGAGATTCTAATGTAGCCAAGAGTGGTGAGTTGGTGACTTTGTGGGTCGTCCGGTTGTGTCACTGTGTATCTATTACTGTCTTACTGAGGGTATATTTGTAATTTTACCACTAGCCAAGAGTGATCTGCATAGTGCCTATTACCTCGTTTTGCTGAGTAAGAGTTACGTAAAATAAGGAAAATTATAAATGAGGACCATATATAAACGTACTTTTGTATGTATGAGTAAGCCTTACTTTCTGATGCCTCATTCCTTATAGTTGCTCTACTCTGTTGAAATCTGCTCTGATCTAGATTAATAATTTATAATATCAGTACAACAATAATTAATAATTACTATGTAATAATAATAATAATTGATATTTAATATAATTATTAATAGGAAAAATTCACATAAATAATCCAAACTATGAGAGGTCTTCTCATATTAATCCCAACTATGAGTTATTATTGTATAATCTAAACTTTAATGTGAGTCTTCTTTTATTACTTCATTTACTTGTTTAACCTATTATAACAGTTTATTTATATTTTTAAATATAATTGCTAGTTAATTTTATTTTTATTTTTATTTTTATTTTTTTTGAAAAAATTTGTTAATTACTCTTACTGATTTTGCTCTTTCTGTATATCAATATTTTCGTTTTCTATTTGTTGTGATGTACTACTTTTAAACAACTATTTGTGTTTTTTTTTAACGCAACTTTATTTTGTTTATGAAAAAACATATTGGTTGTATTATGTAGCATATGATGAAATTAAGTTGATTAAGGAAAAATCAATCACGATTTTAATTAACAATCAAAATCATTGCAGCACAAAGTTGTTAAAAAAAAGTACCAAGTATCTTGTTTCATAAATATTACAATCACTAGCATTGTAAAAACCAACGTAACATGCCAAAAACTTGATCATTTACTTCTAGTACATGATTGTAAAAAAAATAAATAAATAAAAAAATCCAATAAGTCAATTGCTTCCAGTTTGTAGAACATTGCCACCATCATCAAATAGCACCCCCACGCCTCTTGGGATCTAATACATTAAAAAAGCAAAGGATTAGTTAAAAATAATTTTTCCAAAATAATAATCTTTGATAAACCTTTAATAATTAACCTGATTAATAAATTAGATGGAATAAGAGTAGTACCTGATGAGTAGTCCTACTAGCTCTACTGCCATTTCTTCTGCCACTAGCCCGTTCACCCCTGCCACCAGCCCGTCCACCCCTGCCAGCAGTCCTTCCGCTCCTGCCACCATCAACACTCCCACTCCTCCCACCTCCTCTACTTCCTCTACCCCTTCCTCTTATGACTATCCCTCCCATTCCTACCAATTGTAGATGGTTCAGCAGTTTGTTGGTGATGCATGTTCTGGGTTGATTCACCATTGTCATCCCTGCTATGTTGTACTACCATAGCCCTTGGTCTTCCTCTCTTTCTTTTTGGCTGAGGTGGAATTTGAGTGCCTTTGTCTTTGTCTGGACACCTTCTTTTGTTGTGCTCTTTTGATTTACAAACGCTACAACTCATTTCTACCCCATGTCTAGTCAATTTTCCAAGAATTTTAGGATGCTCATGTGGTGTTTTTCTTCTATTCCTTCTTGGTCTACCAGGACCAATCTTAATTGGAGGAGGGTCAATTGGGAGATCAACTTTAGGCCAATATCTTTCCCCCACACAAGGCGGGATTGATGCTGAATAAATTTTCAAGTAGGTTTCTGTTTTGTAACATGCATCCACATATTTCTCTGGCTCCTCGTGAATGAAAAAAATGCAAGCACAAGCATGACAACACGGCACCCCTAACAAATCCCATTTCCCACAAGTACAAGATTTGTTAACCAAGTCTACTGTAACTGTGTCTAACTTGTAGGACACTTGAAATAGAGTGATTGTTGAAGGAATTATAGTACACTCAGCAGCTAATGCCTTCTCTTTGTTCAACTTAATCCTAACTCTAGGGCATATTTCATCTCTGATTTTCTCTATTTCTTGTTTTTTCAAAACAAGTCTTTGCATTAATGCAGATCTAATATCTTCTAGCATAAAAATAAGATGTTTTGTCCTAGCATTAATGATATAACCATTGAAGGTCTCTGCCATATTGTTGACAATAACATCACATCGTGTGTCTTTTTTTACAAATGCTCTGCAAAAACATTCAGGATTGTATGACTTGAAAGCATCAACAGCTGCAGGACTTACCTTCTCCATTTGAGCAAGTGCATTTTCGTAATCTGCCTTATTATATGCTTTAGCCACATTCCAGAACAACATTTTCATCTCATCACCTTTAAAACCATTGTGCCAATAAGCAAAGACATGCCTAGCACAATCTCTATGCTCTGCCTTTGGGAACACATTTGCTACTCCATTTAAAACGGCCTGTAAAAATACATACAACCTTGCGTAAGTCAAACATAAGATGTTATAGGTGTTTAGAATAAAGCATAAAAACTAGCTAAAAAATACATATACCTGTGCTTCATCAGAGATAAAAGTCATACTTGTCCCATCGGTATCATCTAAAACCTTCCTTAACTCAGCAAAGAACCATCTCCACGAGTCATTTGTTTCACCTTCAACAACCGCCCAACACAAGGGATACATTTGTTCATTAGCATCCTGTAGGCGTCGCTCGAAGTGCGCCTACGTTAAAAGCATGTGTGAATATGCTTGGCACTCATAGGAAGTGGGAATTGACATTACGATTAGGGACAAATAAAGTAGGGAGCCGCCAACAAGTTTTTAAGGAACTTGTAAACCGTTCACGGATCATAAGAGGCAACCACGAATAAGGGACAACGATTGACCCGTGAAGGTTACACCCCATTCATAATCCGTGAGATTACTAATTCCATATGGTTCGGAACCACGAAAGGAGGATCGGGGATGATGGTACGAAGTGAGTTATGGAGTCACATTCGCCCGTATTGGCCTCCACTCGATTCTTATAGTGAAAAGTGATTCCTGTGATCTCAAAGGCATACAAACAAAAATTCAATTTGCTCCAAACTATTATTAAGCTAAATTGGTTGAATATTAATGCAACACATAATTCTAAAATATTGTGATCACTTGATTAAACAATAAGATTAAAAAGGAACCTAAACCAGTTGTCCAAATTATCTTATTAGGCGTGATTTTCAATTACATATTCCCTTTAAACATGCAATATGGTGATCATAAAAATAATAATAGAATAAACATTAATATTGGAAGCAATTCAACAATAATAGCGTTAGTCAAATCAAATATAAAATAACCCTAATCATGATACTAGCAATATAAAATAAAATAAGAGTAATTAAATAAATTAATTACTCACATTCCGCGCGTTCCTTTAATTTGCTACATCATGAATAAACTGTTAGTAACTTCAATAAAAATATAAAGTAAATGGAAATTAAATTAAATTAAAAGTAGAGTTGATTTGGTCCAAACCCTCAGTGATTTGTACCTTTCACGCCTTGGTTTAAGGACGTAACCTCGGGTTAAGTATAGTCTCCTTGGAGTGCTTAGGGGAATTGTTATGGAAGAATAAGGAGGCTAGAAATTAGGTTAAAGAGGGAGAAGAGAATGATTTTTGGTGTAAGATGAGAGAGAATGATTATTGCTGCCCCGTACATCAGAAATGAGGGGGTATTTATAGAGAAAATGTGCTGAGGGAGCACACGGAACCCTAAAATGATAAAAACCCTAAAAAAGTACCCCGTGACACGGCAAACTGTACCGTGACACGGGAATTCCCACCGTCAGACGGCAAACTTTCCCGCGACACGGTACATTTTTAGTGTGACGCGGGAAATTTTCAGAAAACGGGAAAGAAAACGCGTTAAGGGTTTACGCGGAAAAGACACGGAACGTCCCTTGACACGGCACAGGTACCGTGACACGGAAGTTTCCACCGTGAAACGGTACAGTACACCGTGTCACGGTATGGGAGACGCGAAAATTACACGGAAACAGCTCCGTGTCATGTGGAATCCCACCGTTAGACGGTGTAAATTCCCGTGACACGGTGGAAAATGCCGTGACGCGGGAGTTGTTTAGGTACGAAGAACGCAAATAGGACACGGAATAGCCCCGCGTCACAGCAAGGGCACCGTGTCACGGGGATTCCCACCGTCAGACGGTGCAATTTCCCGTGACACGGTGGAATTACACTGTGCGCGGTGATTCCAGGTTTTTACCCGTTTTTTAAAACCATCATAACTTTTGATCCGTAACTCAAAATAAGGCATATAATATATCATTGGAAATCTTATCAAGTCTACTTTCCAACCCAATAGGAATCAAGTCAAAATAATATGTAGATTTTAAGATATGGTCGTTTTAGTGGAAGGGTGTCGGTTTTAGGCCGAGTTTAGTGTTTTGCTCATATCTTTTTCGTTATAGCTCGGAATTGGGCTTATGATATATGGTTGGAAAGATTATTTAAAGGCCTATCCAAAAAAATAATAATTGGATCAAAATTGTATAGCCATAAAATCAGTTTCTCTCAGTTTTGCGATGTGGACACGGAAAGTGGAAAATAGGTTATGGTTTAGGGAAATGAGCTAGAAATTGGATTGGTTCATGAAATATATTGGATAGAACATGGATTTAAGAACTCCAAAGATTAAATACTCAACTCGACCAATAATGGCGGTGAAAGGTGTTCATCAACGGGTTTGGTTTTGGGGAGACATTTTTAGGTGTCTACACATCTGTACCGACTGCAGCTAGTAGTTGTCCTCCTAAAAAGGTTTTTAAGAAACAACCATCCACACACAATACTCTTTTGCATCCATCAATCCAACCCTTTTTCACACCTTCAAAACACACGAACATTCTCTAGAAAACAGGTGGATAAATGTTTTGAAAAGGATCAGTCTTAATGGTGAAAGTATTGCTTGCACTCGTTGTTTTCAAGGCTCCAATGTACCTACCAATCTTATTATAATGCTCCTTCATGCTCCCATGTAGTTTTCTATGTGCTAGTTACTTAACCTTATAAGCATAATTTTTCTTCACAATTATCTTATAGGCTAATCTAATTGTTTCAATGATATCTTTTGCTGGCCAATGAGGTCTTGACTTGAAAACCTCAAGGAGTTGTTCAGCAACCCAACTAGATTTTAATTGCCTATTTAACTCCATATTCCTGTTACAAGTATGCTGTAGTGTTACAGATTTCACCACAAAGCAAGACCTCCTGTTTTCCCAGCTAGCATATATCTTGAAAGGACAATTCCCAACACACCTTGCCCCCAACCGTTGTTGTCTCTTTTTGTCACTTATACACCAGAATAAATTTCTACCTTGAGCAATAGCATATTTGACAACATCTCTAAATTTTTCTCTATTTTCAAATCTAATTCCAACCTTCCATTGTAATTTATTGAAATCTGTACTATTATCAACAACAGGAACTCTTACTCTTCTTTTTCTAAGTAATATGTTGTCTTCCTCCTCATGCTCATCTGGTGTGGCTATTTCCTCCTCTGAATCTTCATACTCACTCAGAAAGTCATTAACTATCACCCCGTCTCCTTCTCTATTTTGAGTATTTTGTCTTTGGCCAGCTAACTTTCTTTGTTCAGCTTCTTTTTGAAGCTGTAAAGCCATGTCAACCGCCTTGGTATTCCAACCTTTTAATTGTTCTCTTGTGTTCACATACTCTTCATCACTGGTTCCACCATCAGATGGAGGTATTTGCTCTTCTAATTCCTCCTCATATTCAGCTCCACCTTCATTATCCAACTCATGTTCTATTTCATCCTCAAAATCCTCTTCAAAATTAGGCTCTTTTCCTTGTACACCTACCAATCCTCCTGCCAAATCAAAGTCAACTTCATAATCTGGATCATCATTGTCATAATCATCAGGATCTACTTCATATCCACCAAAAAAGGTTCCCCAATCTACTGCTTCCTCATCTCTTGGATCTTCCCAACTGTAATTAGGATCTACAGGTTGAATAAAGTGGTCTCTTTGTTTTGCATGGTTGTTTTGGATAGGTGAATGTAGTTGTGTTTGGGTTAATGGTGGAGCTTGGCTATTCTCTGGATGAAGAACATCTTTTGTTGTGTTCAGTTCATTAAAGCTGGTATTTATGGGAGAGTTACAAGTGAGCAAATTAAAAAAACTATTTTGCCAATTTTGTTTGGTGGGGTTTGTTTGGCTAGTTGGGGTCATGTGCAAAAATGTTGACTCTATGTCATCTTTTGAGAATAAAGTATCACATATTGTCTCACTCACATTTTTATTTCTTCTAGGGGTGCATGGTTTTCCCTTACTAACTCTGTTTTTCGGAGATACTGATTCTACAAGCTCATCTTTCTCATATACTACATAGCACTCCACACATTTATCCCTCACAGCTATCTTACTCATCTCCCTGATTTCATCATCACTGTAAACCCTCCTTAATCCTTTTTCTAAGCCATCAAACCTAGAAATTAGGTAGTAGATTATCTCAATTTTTGATTCCCCAGCACAACTTTTAGCAAACTCCTCTAGCCAAAACCAACATAATTGATCAGAGTCAAGTTCAAAGGTCCTACATTCACCCCCAAAATATTGCAATACCCCATTATCCTTCTTGAATGAACCACCACACCACATTTTCAAAGTCACCACAATGTCCATGTTCTACTCAATTGTCAAAACAAATTAAACAAAAAATAAAACTCAATTATATAGAAATTTAGGTAATAAACGAATCAAAGTAACTCGTAATCAACCAATACAAACCCCTGCAAATTAAAAATAAGATAAAATCAACCTTAAGCAACTTACAACTCAATTTCAACAAATAACTAAAAAAAATGAAAAATTGAAATTGCAAACTGACCTTTAAAAAGCATAATTGTAGACCATGAAATTAAAAATTTGTTCTTCGTTGTGCGTGAAGAATGAACAAAAATTTGTCAAATGGAAGAACTTGATTTTTTTGGGGGGGGGTTTTTACATTGTACGGTGGGTAGTGGGGCAAGTATAGGTTATTAATTGTTTTTGTTTTTACTTTTCTTTTTTTTTTTTTAATGTAAAAGCAAATCATTTTTGGAGGGAGTTGAGCACTACATCTTCTATTTACTTGCATAACCGGTAATCAGTCTTAATGGAGTAATAAAAGAAGACTCACATTAAAGTTTAGATTATACAATAATAACTCATAGTTTTGATTAATATGAGAAGACCTCTCATAGTTTGGATTATTTATGTGAATTTTTCCTTATTAATAATCATGATAATTAATAATTGACAATACAAATTATGAATATTTATAAGAAAATTAATTAATAATAATGTCTAACAATTTCTTAATAAATATTGATTATAGTAATAACACATAATAATATTTTTTGGGAATAATCATACTTCATATTTAATATTATTTTACAATAATAGGTAATGATGATGAAAATGACGATCACATGAAAGGTTAATTCACCACAATGTTAAACTCTTATCTAATTATGTTCTTATATTGATAAGTGGTTGTAATAATTTGACGATGTTAAACTATTGTTTTTTTTATCTTTTTCATATTAACATAAGTTAAAGATGGTACACATCTATTTATGCACTTGTTAATAATAATAATAATAATAATAATAATAATAATAATGATAATAATAATAATAATAATAATAATAATAATGCTAAAATTTGCTATGCTTTTCCCACTAATTTATTGTAGGTTGTATGACTTTTGTTTTTGAGATATAATAATAATAATAATAATAATAATAATGCTGAAATTTGCTATGCTATGCTCTACAGAAATCTACTATGCTCTTCTCTGCCCAAAAGCTCAAAAGAACAAGGCCTAAGCCTTAGTTTCTCAAATGGGATAAATGTTGTTGACTCACCCCTCATCCCTTCTTGTTTTTTCAATGTAACAATGGCGGTTTGATAATTGACTCAAAAGTTGCTTCAATGGTGAAAAAAACACTCAAAAGCTGCTTCAAGGATAATCTTTTGCGGCGATAAGCCAGTCAGCTGAACAAAAAAGATACCCTAATAGCAAACTATGAAAATTGGGCTAACTGACATATAGTTGGAGCAATGAGAATGGAAAATAAAAAAATAATAATAAAAAAATCACAAAATTACATTGTTATCCCTATTTTATTAGCGGAAAAGACAGCTTTCACCCCTTGAGAAGCATATAAGGTTTCTCAATTGACAAACTTTTATCTGCATCTTTTGTATTATAGAGGAGAGAGATAGAGAGTAAAATGTTTATTTATTAATAAAAATCGAACCTAAAAAGTGGGGTTGTAGATAATAAATTGAATAAAAAGATGTCATAAAAGTAATAAAATAAAGTGAATAGAACTTAGAAAAACGGATGGAAAGTGAGCACGTCTTAGGAAACGGAATCTACCCGTTTTTGAAAAATTATTAATTAGTTCAGTTCAACAAATATTTTTCATAAATATAAGTTTTAATCACTAAACTTAGTAATTTGAAGAACAAATATAATAGAAGCTTTTTGATGTTTGAGGTGATCGCGGCCCCAAACTTCTCGCTCCCACCGGCCGGCTGATGGAAATAGACATTCTTTCTTGATTTAAAGCCAGAACGAATCGCCTTTGCCTTTAATCGCATCAGCCTTCACAACAGCCTAATTCTTCTCCCCTTAAACGAGTATTGTATTGATTTTCATTTCTTTCTCGGTCTTGGATGTCTCAAGAAAGGCCAATAAGAGCAGTTGATGAAAGATAGGTTTAAGTGGCCTAATTGATTTTGGGGGTTTCTTTGTTGCCCAGAACGCTAAAAGGTGGGGACTAATTGGTGTCATAATTGGCACCCATTTGATGAGTATTTAGGTTTTTTTTTTGCCTTCTTTTCATAGATTTCTTTCTTAATAAATGCTTAGTTTTAAGCTCTCTCTTTATTTTCCCTTTCTTTTAATTTTGTATTTTTATGCATTTTGATGGTTTTTCTAGTCTTTTCTCCTTTATTTGCTCTCTTTTCGTGGTTGTAGGTATTGTATGAGGTTCAGGTCTCGGTGGTTTACGAAGGTGGAAGATTCTTTTGGAGCAAGCTCGTGGCAATAGGAAAGCTCAAGATGCAAGGAAGTGGATTCTCCAAGTTCTAGCTCTTGCGCTCTCAAGCCGTGCTCTCATGAAGATGCGTTGTTGAACCCACCGTCAAGTCCATTTTGATCTGTTAAGCCTAGTGACTATCATCATCATATTGCGTGCACATTCGAAGACCTTTAGCGAGAAAATCGAAGAAACCCAGAGGAACGCAGACGCACAGCCCACCCCGCGCGGGCGCTCTTCTCCGATTTCTCTATTTTGCTCGGTTTCGTTTCGCGCCTCTTTAAATGCCGATTTTTAACCCGATTTTTGTAGAAGATTTTAGACATATTTTTGATGATAATGTTAGCTTAGTTGAGAGTTTCTCTCTCTAGTTTTAGGGTTAGTTTAGGAGTAGATTTAGAGGGAGAAAGTGAGGAATTTCATTGGGAATTTGAGAGATTGAAGATCCAAGGTGACAATTGTATTGAAGATCATCAAATCAATGAGGATTTCTAAATCTATCTCATTTTAATTGCTTTGTTAAATTTCATGTTTGTCTGGTTTGATTTTGATGTTTAATTCTTGATTAGTGTAATTGTTCTTCATATTTTGTTGCTTCTTGATTTCCTTAGTTGTTTGTTAATTAGATGATGAAGCTTGAGTAGTTGTTTAGCTAGGGATAGGGTGAAACTTGTATGATTGATTGATTGTGCTTAATTTGGGGATTGTGTTGATTGATTTTTGAGATTAAAGTAATTATGTAAGTTTCATGTGTGTAATTTGATTAGGCCTTGAGAATTATGCTAGATTGCATTGTAATTTCTAATGATACGAATTACTGATTTAGGAATTGCAATTATCGATTGGTATGGAGTGTGATTCTTCTAGTTTGTTATTCGTAGAGACCACTAGTCTAATGATTAGGAGATAGCTCTTTAATTCCAATTGATTGCTCTTATCATTAGTCTTCACAACCATCGATTAGCATGCTTTTCCCAAGTTGTTGTAATTGTTATGATTACTTGTTGATCCCCATTCCCTAGTGCTTTATTTTTTTGGTTCTTTGCTTTAGTAGTTGTTAGTATTACCTTCTTCACCCTTCGACTTCGACTTAGCTTAGACGCATATTGAAAGCACTTGAACATAACTGTTCCTAATGGTTTGTAAATGATTATAAATTTGTTTGGCTTAGGGAGGATTAGTCAACGACCTAGTTTTCCCCTTGTCATCCGCAAAGTTTTAGTCCTTGTTCTCTTTACCCAATATTTGTTGAACCGAAATTATTATTTTTAAAAATGTAATTATTTTTTTGGACTTTAATTATATTTACTGAACTGAAATTAAGGAAAATTTGCATATAACCATCTACAAATAGCACACTAATTGATATTACCACCCAAAAAAAAAAAATTAAAATACCAACCAAAAAACAAAATAAAAAAATAATTAGATTTCACCACCATTTAGCACTTTATGTTAAAAAAATCGTTAAATCTAAAGCTTTAAAAAATTTCTTCGATTTTCGAGCTAAAAACATGCTTTGTACATATTTTTGGGGTCATATTTGACCTTTGGGCCTTAAGGTCAAAATTTACAAAAAAAAAGATTGCAAATGTCTTGTTTTGCGTACTAAAAATTGCATCGGTTTGCGTAACTCATGGAATATGGAATATTAAACATTTATAGTACGCAAATACAAATGTCTCGTGTTGCGTAACTCAACAGAACAAAGAGAGGAAGTAATAGTTACTAACAAGTTATAAGTGATAATGAAACTTCACAACATACATTAAGGAATGGTCAACCAATCATTAAAAATGAAGAAAAAAAAAATTATTGTTGAACTACTAAAAGTTGAAAACAGAAGGAAGGTACGTTAATTGTGATGAAAAGAAAATCCTTGAACTTTTTGTCTATAATAGTAATAGGCGCGCGCACCTCGGTGACTTGCCCCGAATCAAAGATGAAATATGAGTATATGTGTAACACCCCAATAATTCTCCCTTTTTCAACCACTTACTTTAAATAAAAATAGAGGAGAACCATTGGCATGTTACCGCCACGTGTTAAAACGTTAAGGCTTTATCAAAGTATTGCAACGGAAATCCAACTTAAATCTTAAAATAATATAATTTAGAAAACCAATAAGTCAAAGCTTACAAATTGGAACCATAAAGGCCCTTATTAAAACCAAATCAATCATCAAAGTCCCAAAACATAATTAAATTAGTAAAACATAAATAAGTTCAACACAAAGAACGAATACTCTCAATCACACCAATCCCTTGACAATGCGTATGTCAAATCCCCAAACTTCACATCATCAAGCTAACCTGTGCAATACTGCTCCTCAATAATACAAGTGTAATAATTGGATCATCACAGGGTCATTGAAAGACAAAGGCCATGACCAAAAGAAAACACACAAAAGCACGCAATCAGCAAAGCTGAGTACATACAAGCTACAACGCACAAAACCTGACATGCTCAACTACTTAAAGTAAATAAACATACAACACAAATTCATTAATCAAGACTCCACACTTAAACAATTCAATCGACTCAACATACTTGCTAATCAATTCCAAACACTTGACTCTTTATATTTAATTTAATTAATTTAATTTGGAGTAAGAAATAGACGAGGTTGTCCAATCCACCAAATCATTTTGGTCCCAAATGACCATTTAAAATAAAATTTTAGCGCGATGCAAGAATGGGCGCGACTCCATTCTCACAAAGTTAGTCTAGGATCCCATCTAACTTTCATTATAAAATAAAAATGTAAATACCAAAAGAAAAGAGGACATATTGATCAAACAAGCCTCGGAAAGCCACGAGCTACCACCGTGTACCCCAACCCATAATTGTCAATACTCTAGAAGTGCACGTTTTCCAGAGTTTTATTGCTCATCCATGTTTCACTTTACGTGATTACCATTTTAATTAATAGCCGACTCAATCAAATAGACCATACATAAAAATCATACATCAATTTATTTTTAATCTTATTTAGGACAATGGTGATCACATCACAAATTGACCTTTAATTTCATTAAACTTCCAAATTATCCAAATTGTTGAACATAGTCAACCCACCTAGCCATTTCGGCTTAATCCACTTTTACTCAACATACTAACAAGTCATGCTTGATTAATAAATAAAATAAATAACAACCTTGTGGAATAATTAATAAATTCATTCCACTTAAACCATTCAATTCCAATCCTTTAATAATCCAAATGT